CCTGATTGGGAGGCCGGCTGGGGAAGCTGTTGGGGAAGGACCCAATGGCCACCCCGAGGGTGCCCTGGTGTCCCATGGCCTGAGGCCATACTGCAGGGGGCTGTCCTCCCCCTCCCAGGCGCGGTCCAGCGAGTTGCGTGGGATCTAAGCCTCAGAAGGAGGCCTCGGAGGCACTGTCCCGCGTCCCGTCCCCCCCTTCCGTTCCCCTCCCGTGGGAACCCCGCAGCCTGCGTGGTAAACTCCCTGCGGTTTTACCGGGACCGGGACGCCCCTTTCCGGAAGTGCCCATCAATAATTCACGCGGTCCAGAGAGTTCACTTGGGCGCTCGGTGCCAGGCGGCCCCTTGGAATCCTTCCTTTCTGCCTGCCCTAGATCGTGTTTGCCCATCTGTAACAAGAGCATTAGACTGTGACACATTTATCCAGAAGGAAAAATTCCACTCGTGTCGGGCAAGTTTTCTGACCGTCGGAGGAGTAGACGTTACAGATCCGTTACTCCTTCCAAAGTGCACTCCAGGGGCTATTGCTGATGACCAGGGCGATGCCCTTAACACCGAGGGGGGATTTGAAAGGTGCCCGTCGCCCCCCTCAAACACCTAACCAAGGAGCCCAGATGGTGGCGGCTGGATTAACCTTTGAGCTGCTAACTGCAAGGGCAGCGGTTCAAAACCACCACCTGGTCTGAGGCTTTCTACTCCAGGAAAGCGTTCCTATCTGGGAAGCCCACAGGGGCAGTTCTGCTCTGCCCTCTAGGGTCGCTAGGTTACTGACCTAGCCAGCATGCTAGCTAGGTGGATAGACAAAAACCAAGGCCACAATGAGCCCATTGTGATTCACAGCAACCCCATGAGGCAGAGTAGGTTTCCAGGGTCCCTGTGAAGCATGGGAGGAGGCAGCCTCACCTCTCATCTGAGCGGCTGGTGACCTTAGGCAATCATCTTGACCTACATCCTTCCAACTCCACTGGCACCCTCAGACCCACCAGCCAGCAAAGTGGCAGCTTTGCTCTGGGGGAGGGAATCGTGTTTGAGGGTAGATTACAGCTCTGGAGCCAGCCCTGGGAGAGGCAGCTGGTTCTCAGGGAATTTGCCTTGGGTGTGTCCTTAAAGATTGACTGACAATAGCCACTTGTCCTCTGAAAGCAGGGGGCCTGGTGGCTATGACTCAGGAATGAATGGCCATGAGTCACCCCCTAGCGAGAGAAGGGATCCTGCCGGTTCTCATGTGCCACTGTGTACACTATCCCATCAGGGCCCTCTCCCTCCTATAATCCTGCCTCCTTGCCACAAATAATAGTGATCTGGCGGTGGGGGGATCTTCTTGGTCCCCTCATCAGATTTAAGGCACTTCAAGGCTGTGAATCTGGGGGCTCCGTTCCTGCCTCTGTCCTGTGTGAGTGCTCGCTCGTGGTTTCCTTCATTCAGGGATGACTGCCTTTGTCTTGTCTGTCTCTTCAGCGCTTAAGGAAAAGGGTCTCTGAAATATGTCTGCATGTGGGTCATTCCCCCCCTTAAAGCTGATGGCTACAGAAAGACATCGTTTATGTTTTCAGTGAGTGAGGGGTCAGCGGCTGAGTCCTCAAAATACAACCCTGCTTTGGCTCCCCGCCCCCTCAAGTTCTCCATAAGTAAGAGGAAGTGGAACTCGGCTGAAAACAGGCTGTAAATTACGGCCGTTGCATCACAGGCTAGAATTCTTTCAGCAAGTCAGTTGCTTACTGTGTTGCGCCCTGTAAGCTCAACTTTGCACATCCTTTCCAGAGCTGCCCATGCCAGCGAGCAAAGCCTCCGCCCCCAAGCCAATTTCTGCAACATGCCCAGACAGACAGAAGGAAGCAACACGCAAGTCACAATTAACAGGGCCTTTCGGAACCAGTTTTCTAGCCAAACACAGAACTTGGCCTTTTCTTTCCACCCCCTAGATGGCGGTGGGTGTTGGCACCATGTTGGGAAGAAAGGGGCCACTACAAATCTTAGTGCCAGAGCAGCCCTGGGATCAGACAGTGGAGGAGGAGGAGGTATGCAGAGGGGGAGGAGCTTCAAGCAAGAACCCTCGCCAGGGCTGTCCCCTGATTCAGTGAAGGGTGGTCTCTGCTTTCCTTGATGGCCCAAGACTTACTATCCTGGCTGGCCCTGGGCTTGCCAGCTCTTGTGGCCTGGCCACAAGGCCACTCATGCCAACTGAACTTTCATCACCACCCACCCAGCTCCTCCACCACGGACTCTCCTCACTGCCTTTTTTCTCTGATGTTGCTTTGCCCCCAGCCCCCACCTTTTCACCCTGACCCTGACTCCGCCACTCTCCTGAGAGCTGTCAGAACTTCCCCCTTGCTCCCCAGTGCCCTGCAATCCTGTGGCACAACCTCCCGGGGCTCTCGGGGTCTTGTCACAGGGAACACTCCTTCCCCAGCTCTGGTGCTGCCTCGAGCCCCTTTCCTCTGTGGTCCGTCCCCCGGAGGTGGGCGCTCCTCGGGGCTGTCTGGGGCGTTTTCTCTATTTCACTCCGGGTCTTGTTGGTTCCCATGGTCAGGAAGACCCAGGTGCAGCTGGGAGATGCCCGCGCCGCCATTACCTCCAGCCCCCAACTCTCCTCAGCCTCGTGGCTATCCCGGCGGGGGGTGTCCCAGGGGCTGCTCACTTCACCTTGCCCACTGAACTCCTCTCTGTCCCCTCGCATAACGGCTCCACTTCCCGGCCACCCAACTCGGGGTATGCTCCATCATCCCACGGTGGTTTGGGGCCCAACCCTCGTCCCTCACCCCCCTCAAATCTGGTGAATTCTACATCCTAATGCATCCGGATGGCACACTGGGCTACGCAGAGCTGCTAACCACAAGGTCAGTAGTTCGAACACACCAGTCTCTCTGAAGGAGAAAGAGGGGGCTGTTTGCTCCCTTGAAGACTTCAAGTCTCAGAAACCCACAGCAGTGGTTCTGCTCCACCTTCCAGGGGCGTTTTGAGTCACAATCAACTTGACACTGCTGTTTGGTTTAAATGTCTAGCCTCTTCCCGAAGGAGCCCTGGTGGCGTCGTGGTTACGCATGGGGCTGCTAACCGCAAGGTCTGTGGTTCAGAACCAACAGCCATCTCTGAGGGAGAAAGATGGGGCTTTCTACTCCCTTAACGAGTTAGTCCTGGAAAATCACGGGGGTGGGGAGGGTTTCTCTCCTATCCTATTGGGTTGCTAGCAGTCAAAACTGACTCGATGGCATGCGATTCTCCCCAGGTTCTCTGCGCCCACTCGCCTCTATACTCATGGCGCTGTCGGGACCTCTGGTCTGTGTCACCGTCCAAGCCCACGCCCTTCTCAACCGCTCCCCCCACTGAAGCGAGGATGCTCCGGCCCACCCCCACCCCCAGGAAGGACTCGCTCCCCCCTCAGCTGTATTGTCTCACGCCTGTCATTCGGAACTGCCAGCAGCTCAGCTCGAGTCCGAAGCCCCACACAGCACCAAACCCAAACCCAGCTCCCTGTCCCCAGCCTGACAGGACAGGGTGGAACTGCCCCTGTGGGTCCCCAGACACGTAACTCCTAAGGGAGTAGAGCGCCTCCCCTTTCTCCGCACACGGCACAGGATGTGCAGTCGCATGCCTGTCCTTGTCGGCTCGTAGAGCTTCCTGGAGGCAAAGGTGCTATTCCCAGGGTCCAGCCAGCTCGGTGCGCCCTTTGGATGAAGCACTTACATGTTTGCTTCGCTCTGTGGAATGAGATGGAAACTGCTTCATAGGATTCACCCTTTGGGTGATTTCTCCTTAATGAAATATATGGTAATGTATGGTAATTGTGTCTCACTTTAGTCGAGTGTGCCAAAGCACCAACAGAAATTAACTTGTAAAGGGGAATGAGGATCAACCAGCCTGCTTCTGAGAGCAATTATACAGGAGTCTCTCTCGGATCCCGATGCCCCTTTCAGCTCTGAGAAGCTGGATCTACTTAACAGTTCTATGCCATCTTCTCCTGGTGGTATAGTAGTTAAATGCTGGCCTGCGAACCATAAGGTCAGCAGTTCGGAACCACCAGTTGCTCTCCAGAGAGGCTTTTTACTTCCGTACAGCTATGGTCTTGGGAACCCCTGTCCTGTGGGGTTGCTAAGAGCCAGCATTGAGTTGATGGCAGTGAATTGGTTTGTTTTTTTTTTAAGGCCAATATAACGCCCACCTCTAGCTCAATTCAGGGACTACCTACTGTAAGGTGGTCGAGAGGCACCAGAAACCAAATCAGTCGAATTAGAACAAACAGGCTTTATTAGGGAGAAAAACCCAGCCTGGGCAAAGTCCCACAGTCCACAACGTCCGGGCTGGGGGAGTCGCACTGCAGGCTACAGCAGGGCTGCTGCTTATATGGACAGGTATGTCCGGGTTTCTGGAATGTAAGGTGTCTTCCTGGTTCCGGGTGTATTCGTGCCGGGT